TAATGAGAAGGTTTTTTTTGCTTGAGAGGGTCAGAAGTACAAGATATAGGTTGATTGTTATGTTACTTAATTTTTGAAGAAAAGTGAGAAGTATGGTTCTAAGAGGAAGTACAAGCATGGGATGAGTGATTGTAAGTGTTTGGTAAAACTTCTCTTGAGTTATAGGACATGTATGATAAGAAGAAAACAATTGCAAGGCTCAAGAATAATTTTTGTGCCAAAAGCTACTTTATCAAAATGGCATTGTGCACTTTCTTCCTGAAATGGATATAAAGCATGGCTTTGCATTGAATGCTTGAATTGAGACCTCTAACAGTTGTGCAGCCAATTAATTATGGAGTGCCTAACAAGTTTTAGGCCTGTAAAGTAGAGATTATACAACATAGGTTTGAAATTTGAATCTTGTTCATCACAAAATGACTTGTATTTCAAGTGTGAAAACCCTAACTTCATCTCTTCGATTCTCCCTGCTCAAGAATGATCTCAAGGAGTTCTTAGACATTTTGGAAAGCTTGTAATATGCTATACAACCCCTATTTGAATCAGTTTTAAAAATTCCCCTTGGAATTATATGAAAAAGTGCCATGAAGTTAGGTCAAAATCCTGACCAAAACTAGGGCAAAGTTTCACTAAGTGTTCAATTTCAAAACCATGACTTTGTGAATTAATAATTTGAGATCCAAGCATTTTTAGAAAAAGTTGTGTAAAGCAATGTTATAAATATCATAGAGATATACAACTTTCATGTTGAAAGTTTCTTTTGAATCCTCTTGCATCATGGTGAAAAATTGGCTTAAAGTTATGAAAAAACATGAAGTTTTAAACACTTAGAAAAAATTCTAAGTTATGAAACTTTGACTTTTCAAAATGAAATCTTGACTTTTTTATTTCTTGATGAATAAGTTTCATATTTTGACAAGTTTTGATGAATTGTGATCTTTGACATTGAATTTTGACCAAAAACTCAAAGTTTGACTTTTCAGTGTACAGTTGACTTTTTGATCAGTTGACTGAAAATTCACTATCAATCCAATTGATCTTGAGAAATGTTTTAGATCATGCCATTAGGTAAAAATGATTCAATTGAACTCTTGAGATCATGCTTCAAACCAATTGATCATTTGCTAGGTCAAAAATCAGAAATTGCCCTTTCTCAGCCAAAACCCTAATTTTGACCATTTTGCCCTTTTGATGATTTGATCAAATTTCTTGGGGAATTATGGTCCAATATTGATAAAATGATACATATGAGTTTATAATGTTGATGTGGATCAAAAATTATGAATTTTGACTGTAAATTGGTCATAATTGACATTTTCCCTAATACAGCTGATTTTTAGGTCAACTGCTCAATTGACTGAGCAAAAGTGTGATCCAAGGCTTGAAACTTGACATGAGTAATCTTGGGGGTCCATAATGATCCATGAAAGTCTTATGAAGCATTGAAAGTTCAAATTTCCTTGTGCAATCTCAAACCCTAATTTTGGTCATCAGTGCTTAAGGAGGTGTCTTGAGCTGATCAACCCTAGTGCAGTCTTAAACCAAGAGAGATCTTTGTGAGAAAATATTTGATAAATGAGAGGGAAAATTTTAGAGTACTACAGTAGCTAACAACATTTGTGATACCATGCTTTGAGAATTGTCTCAAAATGTTGAGAAAAAAGAAAGTTATGATTTATTGAATATCGAAAGAAAAAAAAGTCAACTAAACATCTGTTTCACTGTGTAACTTTCAGGTAATTTGCACTTTCGGAGATCTTCTTCACATAATTGGATTTCGACCCGAACATATGAAATGTAAAGGATGTCAATACGGATTTAATGCCCAAAAAACCACACAAAGATGATTTTTCAGTCACAAGTTATGAGTTTTGCAACATCCGAGAAACAGTTAACCAGACAAACATTTCAGGGCACCATCTTCAGGGTATTTGTATATTCGGAGATCTTCTTCAAAGAATTGGTTCCTGGCCCGAACATATGAAACATATAGGATGTTAAGGCGATTCTAATTTTCGGATACCCACTCAAAAATAAATCATACAATTTAAAATAAATATCATAATATCGGTCTATAATTGATAATGCAATTCATCAGATACTTCATGCCAATTATATATCAAAATGTTGACTTTACTTCTACCTTGTACTGACATGTAACTCCTAAAGCTACCAACATGTTCACCATAAGTCTTACCAGTTATTGGACAAAAATCAAACGGGAAGCGAACACCGCTTTTGTGAAATTTTGACACTTTTTCATCATCGTAGCACCTCTAATTTTTCTTTTATTTGTAGTATTAGCAAAGGTTGTATGAGAGTTATTGGTTGAATCATTCATCTCTATGTAAACAACACTAATCAACAACAACAAGAACATCATGGTACATATGATCTTTTGACATATCTTTGCTAAGGCACCTAATGCATATGAAATATACTCTACTCATGGTACATATGGTATTTTGAATATCAACAACATCAACACTTTCTAAGAACATTTAACACAACATCAACACTTTCTAAGAACATTTAACTTTAAACAAAACCAACATCAACTTTTTACTTGAACTAACACCATTTTCTCAAACTAATAATATTTAAGAAAAACAAGATTTCTATAAGAATAATCCATTTTTATCAACAAAATCAAAATGAAGTGAGTTACATATCAAAAATTGATGACAAAGTTTTGTTGGACTTTGGTTGGAAGAGTTGATGTTGGAAGAATTATGTTGGAAGAGATGATGGAGTATGAGTTTAGGGTGTTTTGATGAAGATGAACATCACCAAGGGTTTTTTAAGAGAATGGAGATGAAACGAGGAGTGTTGATAGGTAAATAAAAAGTTAGAGTCTAGTTCTGTGAAGTATTCATGCATTAGACCTTACACGTCGGGCATAAGGTACAATTGAGAGAATAAATCAATTTAAAATAATAAAAAAATAGAAAAACGTCATATTCTAAGAAATTCATGCAAATAATATTACTCCTCAATTGAGATATATAACATAGAGAAAAGACTAACATAAAAACAAAATAATAATATAAAAATGGTCTTTTAAGTAAATAATTTAACGAAATTAATATTTTTTATTGTATCACGAGTATTTCTTTTCTGTAATTTAAAATAAATTAAAAAAAGAGTAAGAAATCAACTGAAAAAATGTAACATTTGATCTCCAAGTCAATTGAAAAATAAATAAAAAAATATAAAATGCGACGAATAGAATTATAAGAGGATTCTTTGATAGATTTTTCCTTCAGTTTATGTTGTATTAAAAAAACAGTTATACGTAACACAAACAAAAAATATATCTTAATTAAATATTGGACGTGATGAAAACATTATCATAACATATATATTATTCATAAAAATGGTTATTGAAACTAATTACATTTTATATATAATATTATATTTCGACATATTTATTTTTATTATAACTTTTTTGATTTAATTATTCATGTTGTTTTCCCCTTATTTCTAATGGTTCCCACTTCAAATATTAAAATCCAAAAACCCTCCATTGTTAGTTCATACCTAAAATATAAAGCCCTTATTGATTGGAATTTAGTAATTTATATTATTCTTTATTTTATTTTTGGTGATGTTTATATTTTAGAATGAATAATCTTATTATTAGACCTAATTCTTATATCAATATTTATGCATAATATTGTTTATTGTATTTATACGATGAACAATATTTTTTAAATAAAAAATATATATTTATAAATAGTAAAATTTTATTATAATAATTTTTTTTTTTAAATTTAAAATTTTTTAATTTGTTTAAATTAAGAGATATCAATATAAAATGGTGTGATTAACTAACTCCATAACATCATTAACCAACATTTTACATTTTATTAATCAATTTTATTTTACTACTAAAAATTATTTTTAATATATATTATTATTAACTAACTTCATAACTTCATTAACCAACAATTTACATTTCATTAATCAACTTTATTTTATTATTAAAAATCATTTTTATTATCTAAATATTTATTAGTCAACTTCTTCACTTTATTAATCAATTTTTTACTTTTTATCAATCCATTTTGTTTTACTACTAAATTATTTCTAATATCTGAGTGTTTATTAATCAATTTCATTAACTAATTTTTTATATTTTGTTAATCAATCTTATTTTACTATTAAAATATCCATGTCCACTGTTCATAAAAAAAATTTATTTAAAAAAATATTGTTTATCATATTAATACAGTAAAGAGTGTTGAATGTAATTATTAATGTAAGAATATCATTATTCATTTTGAGATTCATAATGATTAATAAACACGTTCTAGATTAAAAGATTAAAGAGTATTTTCATACTTTCAATTTTTTTAAGAAATCTAAAGAGGTGACAAAATATATATTTTTTCTTTTGTTTCTTATGTATTATATTTGGAGTGTACCTAAAAGTCTAATGTGTTTTTTTTATTATATATAAATTAAATATCGTCTGCGCATATGTAAAAAATAATCTCTCAAATCTTATAAGATTATGATAAATAACAAATTCAGAAACTCTTGTTAAATCGGATGAGACCATTTGTTATCTTATTCAACTACTTTTGAGTAGTTCAATATTTTTTATATTAATATATATTTTATTTTGCTGATAAATAATAATAATATCAATGAAGTAATGACAACAACTTGAGCGCCCCATTAGTGCATAACCACAGTCATTATGCATATGCCAGCATGTTTTTCCATCCCACAGTTCCACTTACACCTATTATTATCTCAATATAGCTAAAGCATTCAAATATTAAAACCACATGTAGATTAAGAAAAAATGAATAATAAATATGTGGCAGACATATTATCAAATAAAGATTTCATTTTCTAGATCATGCGTATGATATAAAATTTCCCCCCACTCACGTGGTTTTCCTTTATAAACGCAACATCTTAGTCCAAAACCAAAACATTGTATTATTTGTAAACTTTCTCACACACAACTTTAAACTTGTGTTGAGAAGATGGAATGGAGAAAATATTATCTGGATATGTTGCTTGTACCATTAGGGTTTATGATAATAATTGGTTATCATGTTTGGTTATGGCATAAGGTTCAAACTCAACCTTCTTCCACCATCATTGGAATCAATACTCATGGAAGACGATCTTGGGTCCCTGCCATGCTCAAGGTATACATACATATAAACTCTTTTTTCCTTCAAAATTACATTAAGAAAAATAATATACTCCTCATAATTATAGTTCTAAAACTTCATATGATCTATTTTTCACTATTTAGATCATGTTTTAATTTGTATGTATAATTAGAGATTATGCATGTTAAACTTCTGCGTATTTTTTTATTTTTTTTATTTACTTATTTATTTGATGCAGTATTTTTTTATTTTTTTTATTTACTTATTTATTTGATGCAGTATTTTTTTAATATTGAATTTAATTGAAATATATTATTGTTATAAACACCGTCAATTAATTACAATTATTAATTTATTAAAAATATTTAATTTTAATTTTAATTTTTTTAACTATTATATAATTGAGTGGTTGTGATGCAGTGTAAAAATTAAAACATTTTTATATGATAATATTTATTTTAATAGATTGTTGAACATTCAAGCGGAAATGTTAGTAATAATCCCCGGAATATTTATTTAGCTATAATTATAATTTAGTTATACACCAACGATTATTTCTCGAGGCTTTTGATTAAAATATTTTAAAAGAAAATATTCGCTTTATTCCTAATCATTTCATTTATACTAGTACTTTATAGTCAATTGTTTTTCAATTCTAAAGTAGAAGTATTCCAAAAAATACACATTTATTAGTCGAAGAATATTTTGCCGTGAGTTACACATTAAACACACACAGGTCCATTATTTAAATAAATTAGGCTGAATAAAACTTTACTAACCTCAAACATGATATGGTTAAAAGATTCAAAATTTGAGTCTTATAGTTATAAGTTTTAAATGCTTGTTTTTAAGTCGAAATGACTTTTAAGACATGTTAGTTTATATAAATTTTATTTTATATAAACATATTTAAATGATTAATTTGACCTAGTTAAATATTTAACATATAATTTAAAGTATATAACTATATATGACAAATTAATTTATACTAATTAATTTAAATTATTGAAAAAGTTAGTAAAATTATAATTTAATTTTAAAATACAAAATTTAATATAATTATAATTATAATTAAAAAATAATAATAGTAAGAAATATTATTTATATTCATTTAACTAGAATGATGTAATAGGTTAAAATGATTTTTTTATGATATTTCTGATTTTTTATTTAAACAGATTTTCAAAAATGAATCTTAATCTTAAATGTTAAAAGAACTACAAGCAAATAAAAATAAAATAAAAACTCAACAACTAACAAAACAAAAAAAACATGAAAGCAAGTAAGAGAAACCCTCATAGATAAAAGTTCAAGCAGTTAAAAATTCAAATCCATAGACTTCCAAAACCACCATCAACAAATCAAAATCATCTATGTGAGATAAAATCACAAATTAATATCAACCTCAGAACTAAGACAAACACTCAATCCCCTATTAGTGAAATATAGTGGATAGAGTTAAGAAATCTCACAAAGAAAGTACACGAGTTCATTCTTGAACTACTTAGAAATCATTTATAGATCTAAAAAATATTATTTTTCTCCACCTCTTTCACAATTTTTATAACATCATTAAAAATAACATCATCAGAAACTTTGCAAATAGATCAAACAACATTGTACCAAATTATAACAAAATCATCTATAGACTTAGTTCTACCACCTAAAGAGAAAAAATATAACAAAAAAAATACTAGACAATCCAACCACCCGAAGATCTTATACCACACAAATAAAGTTAACTTATAAATCACAAAAAGATGAATGACAACTTAATCGAATCTTCACACAAAAAAATAGAGATTCCAATAGAAACAACGAACAAGTTCTCTCTAAACATTTATCTTACAAAAATCATGAAGAGAAAACCAAAACTTTAAGAGGAACTCAGCTAACTAAAATGAGGGAAGGGTCGAATTCCGAGTTAATCCAAACAAATTCTTTAGTTTATTTTTAAAATTTGATCTGACTTTAGTCTGATGTTAGACTAGGAGTACATCTAAATGTGTCAATTTCTCCTACGACCATGAGAATGTCACCAAACCAAAGTGTCAAAAAACACTATGAATACATTTTGCACATGTTTAAAATGACTTGAGAATCACCATAAATATGGAAGATATTCCTTTAGCTAAATGGTTTTCAGGCCCCCCTGCTTTTGGTATGATCGATGTTTATAACTTTGGCATCTTCAAATTACATACATACAAAAATGAATATTTGAGAGAATCTTCGTACAATTGGTTGGTGTAGGTTTTGGAATTCTTTTATGAAAATGCATGGTCATTTGCTAAACATGGCCCCATCACTTCACTATTTTTTTTATAAAAGTGGTTTAGTAAATCCATTCAAAAGAATGGCTTACGTCTTCACTTTGTTTTCGTGGTCCTAAGTTTACATTTATAAATTGCAATCTTAGCAAAAAGAAATGTGTCATTCATGTTTCTGGTCACAATCCATAATGCATTTATCTTTATGGTAATTAAGAGGAGGAACACTTTTTTCAGATTAAATTAATTTTTATGAAATAATTAGGCCATATACATGAACTGTGTGTTCGAGGGTAAATCATAAATAATTTTTAATAGTAGTTTAACTGTGACAAATATTTTATCTGTAAACTGTAACAATATTTAAATCTTTTATGTTTTGAAGGTTACGTTGAAAGACAATTTTTTATATATATTAGTTAATTTCGCATCGTTAATTTGTGCATTTAGGACATTGAAAAGAAGAACATCCTAGCAGTTCAAACACTAAGAAACCTAATAATGGGATCAACACTTATGGCTACAACCTCCATTCTTCTCTCGGCCGGTTTAGCAGCAGTAATAAGCAGCACATACAGTGTGAAGAAGCCTCTAAATGATGCCATTTATGGAGCTCATAGCGAATTTATGGTAGCACTTAAATACGTGACGCTTTTAACAATATTCTTATTCTCATTTTTCTGTCACACTTTGTCCATTAGGTTTTTCAACCAAGTGAGCATCCTTATTTGCACACCACAAAATGTCATGTCGTGTGTTGTCATTACACCTGAATATTTAACTGAACTTTTCGACAAAGGAATTGTTTTGAGCACCGTCGGTAATAGGCTCTTCTACTCGGCTTTTCCTCTTTTGCTTTGGATCTTTGGACCTGTCTTGGTTTTCTTGTGTTCTGTTGCTATGATTCCTGTGCTTTATAACTTGGACTTTGTTTGTGGGAATGGAAAGGGAAATGTTGTCAAGATTAATGACAAAGGTGCTGAAGATTATGTTTGATGTAATTTAGTCCTAATTGCTGGAGGTTTTTATATCTCTAAACTTGTTCATAATTTGTAATTAAGTATCCGAATTTGAACTTTTATATAATCTGTAATCAATCGGTTACAAAATTATGAATGATATCTTTTGTATTATTTAAGTATAAATCGGTTATCATCCGCATACAACTACAGAGAATAATTCCTCCAAAACAGAAATAAAAGACAAAATTAACTTAAATATTAGATTTGCATCACCTAATACTTTCAAGTTGTAAAGGTGTTTGTGTTTTACTCACACAAGCAACAGCTATTTAGCTATTCATGAACTAGCTTTTCTGACGTGGGTTTGTTTTATTGTGATTACCATATCATTAACCTTTTATATGTTTCCTAATTGATGGAAACTTTTGTTTAATTATGGAGGAAAAGAGCCTTTTGTTTCCATTGTTTGAACAAAGTAGGCATAATATTAAAGATAATTCTTAGATGCAAGCCACCTAGTGCGTGGCTTTGGTCATTTCTATAACGGTAAAAATGCACTAGCTTATATAGTCTAGTAGGCCAACCTCAATAAATGCAGGAATTAGATATTAAAAGTTCAATAGAAAATCTATTTAGATTCTAAATCCTAGAATAATATATTTAAGATGTGTAAATAAGTAAGATGTATGTTGAAATTTTTTTCATATATGTAGTGGCACGAGTCAAGATCTAATTGGTAGGAATCATGTCATCCAAGTCCTAAGAAGTAAAATAGATTAGGAGATGATTATGTCTTAGAGCCCCATAAGATCATGATTCATGACTCACCAACTCATGTAGACAATGACATGTCAAGAATTCACATAATTCTCTAACGCTTGTCCTCTAAAATAATAATTTCTAAAAGGAGATTTTAGGGGCCATTATACCCCTAAAAATCGACTATAACAGTGAAATAACAATTTATATTCGCGTACAAACTACTCTAAAATTCTAAAATTCTTACTTTCATCGTCAGCGAATTGATTGTTGGAACGATTGTAACTACACTCTTCACTATCAGACATATTGCAAATGATTTTAGTACTAGAGTTCGTCAACGACACCTTTAACAAAACTTGAAGGAAAAAATCTCCACGAATAATTTGGCACTGTATGTGGAAAATATCCTCTAACTTTTTCACTCTACTTCCTGCTTGATGACAAACTCTGAACACATTATAACTAGAGGTTCTCCCACCAAACAGGATGTTAACGATTTTCTAAGGAACCTCTTGGAGAACATTTTGAATCAATCGCAAAATACCCGTAAGCACGCCGATCGTAAGAGGCATTCAGGTCAAAGAGGTGGAAAGAACCTGTTAGGGAGGTCAATCAGACCCACCATCTCCGGTGGAAAACTTCCTCACTATATCAAGCAACTAGAGATGACTCTAGTAGTTCTAGAATAGCCTATCCATAAAAGCCTCAATAACGGGAGAAACGTCGAGGTATAAACATTTATGTGGATTCCACAACATTACATATATACATAACGTAACATGTTATTACCTCAATTATTCAGTTAACCGAAGTAATTAATAGTTGTTATTTAGGTGTCTGGATTTTTTGTAGGGTTAAAGAAAAAATTCAGATTTTAAAAAATTGGTCTAAGCCTAAGTTAAACTCATGACATTCCACACATACCAAGTTCATCCTTAGCCACACAACCATTCATATTATTGTTTACAAATATCACACTCTTAGAGTTGAGAAGTTAAACCAAAACAAAAATGGTAAAAGATAGAGGTTAATGTTGTACCCCCAAAATTTGCCCTCTCATTTCTCAAGTAATCTCTCACAAGATCTCCTTTGGTTCAAGACTGCACAAGGGTTGATCAGCTCAAGACACCTCCTCTAGCACTGATGACTGAAAATTAGGGTTTGAGTTTGCACAAGGACAAATGGACTTTTATTGCCCCAAATGACTTTCATGGATCACTTTGAATTCTCAATATTACTCATGTCAAGTTTCAAGTCTTGGATCACATTTTTGCTAAGTCAATTGACCAGTTGACCTAAAATCAACAGTATTGGAGAAAAAGTCAACTGTGGTCAATTTTCAGTTAAACTTCATGATTTTTGTTCCATATCAACATTATGAACTCATATATGTCATTTGATCAAGTTTGGATCATAATTCCTCAAGAAATTTGATCAGATCATCAAAAGGGCAAAATGGTCAAAATTAGGGTTTTGACTGAGAAGGTGCAATTTCTGATTTTTGACCTAGCAAATGGTTGATTGGTTTAAGTTATGATCTCAAGGAGTCAAATGCATCATTTTGACCTAATGGCATGACTCAAAACATTCCTTAAGATCAATTGATTGACAGATGAATTTCAGTCAACTGATAAAAAGTCAACTGTACTCTGAAAAGTCAAACTTTGACTTTTTGGTCAAAATCAAGTATCAAAGATCAAAATTCATCAAAACGTGTCTAAATATGAAACTTGTTCATCAAGAAATCAAAAAGTCAAGATTTTATTATGAAAAGTCAAAATTTCTAAACTTAGAAATTTTCTTAAGTGTTGGAAAATTCATATTTTTTCACAACTTTATGCCAAATGTTCACAATGATGCAAGATGATTAAAAGGAAACTCCCAACATGAAATTTGTAGCTCTCAATGAGATCTAAAACATTGTATAACACAACTTCTTCTAGAAATGCATGGATTTCAAGTTATGATTTTGTGAATACATGTTCATGAAACTCAGAAACTTAGTGAAATTTTGCCCTAGTTTAGGCCGGATTTTAACCTAACTTCATGGAAAATTTTCACATAGTTCCAAGATGAATTTTCAAAAATGTCCTACATAGAGGTTGTATAGGATGTTACAAGCTTTCCAAAATGTCCAAGAACTCATTGAGATCATACTTGAGCAAGGAGAATCGAAGCCAAGAAGTTAGGGTTTCATTCTTGAATTACAAGTCATTTATTGATGAACACATAATGCAATTTCAATGTTAGGTTGCATAATCTTGCTTTGCAGGCCTTCTAACTTGTGTATCGATCCATCATTAATGGATTACACAAACTTTTGAGCTATAATCCAAGTGGTTTAAGCTTTATCCAATTCACATTGCCATTTTGGGATGTGAAGAATGTCATTCTTGAAAAGCAAGCTTTATGCACAAAGTCAATTATTGAGCCTCTAACTTGTTCCCTCTGATCACACTTCATCTACAAAGTCAGAATTTTAGGTTGTCTACTTGTTGGTTTTATCTTGCCATACACCCTAATTACTAACATTTATGAAAGCAATAAAAATGCGGAAAATAAAGGTCCTGCGCTATTACAACCATATTGAACAGCAAGAAAATGCAAAAACAAAACAAAACAAAAGAAGGGAAAACAAGTTCTTCGATCCAGGCAGTAAGCACCCTTCGATTCAACCCTTTATTTCTTCTTTCGATTGAGCCTGGAAATCAGCGTGAGTGTGCACCCTTCGATTCACCCTTCTTGCCCGTCGTTTGGGACATGCAAAGAAGCATGAGTATGTACCCTCCAATCACATCCTTTTTCTGCTTCCTTTCGTTTGGGGTTAGCTAACAGCATGGGGCGAAGCCTAAGGCTTCGATTCACACAACCTTCTTCTTGATTTCTTTCGTTTGATGATTAAATAGCAGCATGGGTGAAGCCATGCTAATATTGTTTCATGGCCAGGTTAGTTCTTAAAATATGTTTGATAAACAGAGAAAACAAGCCAAAAGATTAGCAACGAAAACAAACAGAGAAGGTGGAAACGAAAACAAATTAAAGGGTAATGAGGATTCTTGAAATGAAAGGAAATGGTTATTCACATGTTATTCTTGAAACGAAAGGTTTAAGGTTAAGAGGACTTACCTTGCTTGAAGCTGGAATGTGTGTTTGGGCTTAAGTTTCTGCCCTGGATATTCTTGGATTCGAAGGGAAGAAACAAGTGTTATGTTTCCAGTGCTGGATTCGAAAGAAGGAACCAAGTGTTGGGTTGGTGTTTCCATGGGTTCTAGATTCGAAGGAAAGAAACAAGTGTGGTGTTTATAGTGCTGGATTCAAAAGAGAGAAAAAAAGGGTGTTGTCTTTTGATTCTGGGTTTGAGAGTGTGTCAAGTGTTTGATGATTTTTCACACAACCAGAGTTTCTCCAGCTACCAAAAGCCCCCTCTTAGCTTGCAAATGGTTTCTATATTTATAGAGAAAAGTTTAGAGATGTTGGAGTAACCAGGTTAGTAAGATAACAAACTATGGTTTGGTTAAAAATGAAAGAATCGAGTTTTATGAATTTTCATAGTTCCTAAGTTCAAGTACAAGTGGGGGCCTGATGTCTGTTGGGGGCAGGAGATTAGACTTATGCTTTTGGCACTGCTTGTGTTCGGATAAAATCAGGTCGGGAGCTCAAAAACTAACTTTGTGATTAAAGTAATCTTTATGAAAAAAAGGATACGTAGATTTTTTCCATTTCATCCAAAAATGGTATAATTCAATGGATAAAGCTTCGAACCTTTGTGTAATGTATCATAAATTTTTGTAAGCCTTTGATTATGTAAAGATTTGGAAGCAACATAGCTTGACAAGTGAGATTTGGAGGATAAGGCTATTTGATCAATGTTCTTCAACCAAGCTTGCTCGAAGGGTTCAGAGTTGGATTCGAAGTATATTGCTTCAAAGGAAACCTAAACTCCAATCGAAGATTTGTGAGAAGGTAATCCTTGTCCAATTGAAGCTTGCCTGCAGGAGGTCACTGCTTTGTGACTCCAAGAAAGCATACAAAAGGACATTTCTCAAACGAAGGTTTGCATGAAGAGCCAATGTCCAATCGAAAGCTACATGTAAGAGGACACTGCTATGTGACTCCAAGCAAGCATACAAGAGACCATTGCTCAAATGAAGGTTTGCATGAAGAGCCAATGCCCAATCGAAATCTGCATGCAGGAGGCTCCTACTTTGTGAATTAAATCAAACATGTAAGTCCAATGGTGAAATCGAAGCTTGCATGCAGGAGGTCCCTGCT